AAACGCATGCTTCAAATCATTGAATTTCCCTTTTGAATGAAGTCTCTAAGGCCTGAATTTATTCAAAATATAACTTCTTCTTCTTTATTTTATTTTTTATTTTTATTTTTTTTTATGATACATATTATGGTCGTGCAATGCTGAAGTCCCTTAAGCTTTTTAACTAACCCATGTAGTAAGTGTTAGGCCAGCAATTCCCAAACCAGATGGCTTTAGGGTGCTAAGTGTAAAGACACTCCTAGGGCTTAATAACTTGAATTGGCAAGGCTACAAACTCCAACAAACCATATTTATTTATTTTTATTTTTGTGAATGACCGTGCAATGCATAAGTCCCTTAAGCTTTCTAACTAACCCATATAGCAAGTGTTAGCCCAACAACTCCCAAACCGGATGGCTTTAGGGTGCTAATGATAAAGACATTCCAAGGGCTTATTAACTCGAGTTGGCAAGGTTACGAACTTAAACTAGTCATTATCCTTATTCATTTTTCATCAATTTTTTTATTTTTATTTTTTTAAGATTCAATGCCAAAGATATCCATTCATTAGGGTCATCAATTCAAATCAACTGAGTCAAGGTCAATCAGGTTGCATGCCTCACAATTGAGTTTCCGGCGTGTATCTATGCAGTGTGAAGCATGGAAGAGTATGAAATCTGACAAAAATCTAATTGAAATATTTATACAAACCAATATGAATCAACATGAACATTTCAGATTTTTCTTTATTTTCAAAACTATCATTTGCGTCTATACACAAAGTATTAAACACATGCTTCAATCTCCAACAAGTTCCAAGATTACTCTATCATTGTTTTCCAGAAAATGATTTTTATTAACTTACATGAATCAAGTTAAACATGCAAGCAAAAATGTAATACCAAAAATGCACCCCCCTAACTTGAATGTCGCATTGTCCTCAATGAGAGAAGACAAAAAATGAAAAAGGAAATGAAAAGAGGGTACAAAGAGCAATAATACCAAGTGGAGGAGGAAATTCAGTGGTGGTGCAAAAATAAGCCACCTTGTGAATTCTAAGAGCATGCCCCCAAACTTGATTTTAAAAACTTGTCAAAACACATCTGTATACAACAATCATCATATGAATTCAGACAAAGATGAATATAAATACTGCAATTTTATTTACCTAAAAACCAAATATCCATGCAAAATAACAAAAGACTTACAGTTAGAAGTGCAAAACAGGAATGGAAAGTAAATGCCAAACGCAGCCCAAAATAAATCTAAATAGTACTACTAGAAGCAAAATAGATATGGAAAGCATAAAATCACTCCATCGGAATGGAGGATGAACCACCGGTGCCGTCTCGGGTATGGTCAATCAGAGTCTGGAGCATGGTCTGCAAAACCTGCTACCCCTCCTGAGTTTCGTTAAGGATGCCCTCGATGTTCCCGACTAGCATGTAAAGTGCATTAACACGAGCACTGAGAGAGAAATAATCAACACGGGATATAGCCGGCGATGGCGGCGCAACAGGGGCTACCGGAGCAGCCGGTACTAGAGCAACAAAGACAACTGGAGCTCCCCAATAAATCACATCACCTATACGGGCTTGATGGGAAGTCTTAAGCTGAACTGTGCTGGACTTCTAAACCCCAAGGTTAAAATCAAAAACATCTGTCTTTTTCTCCACATGACGGGGTGCTTTGAACCCTTGGTTTTTAAGCAGCCTTGGGTTTAAATAACAAATAATAAGTAAAAATCAAAATTGATCATGAATTAAAGAGAGGTTTTTGATATCACACCTGATTAGAAAATTAAACTTTTCATACCTTTGAGAATTCCTTATCGCCCTTTGAGAGATCTAAAAAAATAGAGCGTTTTACCCCGTTCTGAAAGTTGTTGATACAATAGGTCTGAATAAGGGTTTTAAAACCCTTATATATAACAACAGGGGGGGACGGCTTCTCTACAAAAAGCATACCTAAGTATCCCTTCCTATCATGGAAACTTAAATATTAATAGTTAGAATTAAATCGCACCAAATAAGTTGGAAAACCACAATCCAACTGTATAAAAAACCATACTCCTAATTAAACCACCAAATTGGAAAGTACAACCCAATCCATCAAGTATCAATAATTACATTGTAATCCTACTTTAGAAAATGTAATGCATAGGACCATTTGAAAACACTTTTTCAAATCTCTTTTTCTTTCTTACTTATATTGAGAGTGTGTGTTTAGTAGGCTACGTAGGCCTTCTATTTATACTAGTATAAGTAGGGATATAATAAATTAGTATTAATGAAGTTATACTTAATTTTTCACTTAAATAAACACATAAGTTAAGGTAAGTTAATATATAAGTTATAGAAAACTTTATTGATTCTACATTAAAACTTCATTAAGAATTTAGTTGGAGTTTTAATAATTTAATAAATAATAAATTTGAAACATAATTCCAACACTAATGACATGGAAATTAAGCTAATGAGGTAGCACAATCCATCAAGAAATAAGCATGATTCATTAAACAAACCACAAGAGTAATCAATTAAGCACCATGCCTTCACCAGCACTAGATTTATAATTTTAACACACATAGACATGCATCAAACTCATAAAACCTAGTGTAAGCACATGACCATTCATTCTAGCATAAATAGACATATGGATAGAAATAAAAGATCAATTGGAAAAATTAATCCATATAATTCATGTAAAAACTCAAAATCTATAAAAATTCATGGTCAAAACATTATTTATAACATAAATCCCCAAAAACTACAAAATACTAAGTTTAGGAAGCAAACCTAGGGGCTATTTTTAGCCCCAAGAGAGGGATTTAGCCACTCATGGTAAGTGTCATCCAACCCTCAAGGGCTATCTTCAATGTAGGCACCATCTTCTTCCTCTTTGCTTTGCTCCCAAAAAAACCTTAATTCTATAGAAAGAATTTTCTAAAAGCTACATCTTAAAATGGAAATAAAACTTGGAACTAAAAATTGTTAACCCTATACAAATTGGTTCATTTGATTTATATACAAGCCTCTTTGAGTAGGCAACAAGTCAGAAATAAGGCCTTTGATTGGTGTAATCTCGCAGCTACAAGAGTTGGTAGGGTTCGGGCGCGCTCGGGAATTAGACAGCTTATTGCCAGCAGTGGGTTCGATCGATCGAACAGGGCTTCGATCGATTGAACACTTACTTCGATCGATCGAAGCTGATGTGGCAAAAATATTTTGACAGTTGGTGACCTTATCCATTGAGCTGACATCGCCTACATCTCGATTAATTGTAGATATCTTCGATCGATCCTGGCTTACTTCAATCGATCAATGCTTGAATAATGCAGTTTTTCTGAATTTTCTTCTTAACTCCAGAAAAGGAGCTAAAAGGCTTTTTTTAGCCTGTTTGAATCTTATTGACCTGAAATACACAAAAACACAAATTAGAACTAAAACATGAAAGTAAGATAGATAAATGGACTAAAATACCCTAGCTTAGATATTAAAATTACGAAGCATGGCCTAACATATCCTATTATTGGATTATAGTTCGTTGCTCTTGCATAAATAATTTTTAGCCTTCAAAGCCTCCTCATTGTGTTGGGTCTTCTTTCCTTCCTTGCGATCTCTAATATGAAATTTTAAACATTTGAGAGACGTGTGTAAGAACTCTCTAGAATCTTTAATGTGGCTGATGGACACATTTTATTTTTTGCAGGCAGCAAAGATACTGCCGAAATAAGAAAATAGAACCAAACATAAAGTTTTGTCCGCATTCCAAACTGCCATACACAATTATAAAATTATAATTGTATCGATCTGCCTAGTTATTTTCAGCCATTTTCACTGTAAAATTGGCTGACAATATATATCGGTGAGAGAGGGAGAGAGATAAATATATCTTGATGAGAGAGAAAGAGAGAAGAAGATTGTCCTTTAAGACTCAATGGATTAAATTGACAATTAAATTTAAATTAGTCATTCCCATCATTAAAGACAATTGTCTTGTTTAATTTCCTTGTCTATTATTTCAAATTTCAATTAAGAAAAAAAAGGAAAACCAAAAAAAAAAAATTGAAATTAAATTATAAAACTAACCTATCCAATCATTCACTATGGCCATTAGACTAAGTAGGTTAGAATTTAAAAATGAGTGATGATAGGAATCGAAAAGAATCTTTTAAATTAACATAAAATTTGACGTTATTAATTATACTTATTATGTTAAACAATTATTTTTTGAAAACTGTTTAAATAAATAAGGTAGACAAAAATACGTCATAATTGATACTTATTCAAGAAAATCATTCGGTAACCCTATCATTTTTTTAAAAATATATATTTCTAGTATGTTTATCCTTGCCAAATTGGGTACCTAAAAAGAAATTAAAATGAATTTAAAGATTCTTGTATATGGTTTTGAAGTGAGGGATGCATGAGTAAATAATTAAACTTTTTCTGTTGTGTTCGAATTGTAGTTATCCAAGGCATATGTTTTTATTTTTATTTTTTTAACTTTTAAAAAATTTATAAAAGAATAATTTATGCTTAATTTATTTACCATGACATGGGAAATGCTTATTACACTAGGATACAAAAAAAAAAAGAAGAAAAAAAAATGATGATGATAGGAAGAATGAAAAATTAATCCTAAATAAGCATCGAATCTGATGTATTTTTGTCCACATAATCTATCAATCACATCAAATTTGGTGTTAATTCGAAGATTCTTTTCGTTTCTTCTATCATTACTCAAAAAAAAAAAAAAAATACATAAAAAACAGTATAATATATAATTAAATATAAAAAATAATTTGTGCTAATTTTATTTAATTTTAAAGAGTGCGCTCAATTTATTTAAGTAATGAAATGCAATCACTAATTTTAAAATTTTACATTGTTTCTTTAATTTAACTCATAAAATATTATAAAATTGCATTAAAAATCTATATTTCTAAAAGAAAAAAAAAAAATTGAGAGACAAAAATATTTGTCAGGGATTAATTGCCGTAATATCAGGACGATTTCAGAACAGGGGCTCTGTAACCTTGGGTCCCAGCTTTCAAGTCCCTCTCTCTCTACACGGCTGTATCCCCTATGTGCTCCTCCTCAGAACTACCAGACACCAGTTTCAACTCTCAACAAAGGGGAAAAACCCTTGTAAAACCCCTACATTTGCAATCCCACCAAAAGCTCTATAAAACGGCTTCTTCTATCAATAAGCTGGGGAGAGCTGTGGAGGTTGTTTTCACCCAAAACAGTCCCTTCAAGCCCTCTTGCCCTCCTTTCTGGCTATCCCATTCACGACGTCCCCACTCTTCTTCTATGGCTTCTTCTAACTCTCGCTCTCTTTGGGCTTCCTCTGACAAAGCCCTCCACAGGTTTGGTTTCAATAGCAATCAAACCTCGTTATTTATTTTATTTTATTTTAAAAAGTTTTTTACTATGATTTTCTTTCCTTACCCATTTGTTACTATTTCGTGTTTGGGTTTCTTGGGTATTGGCCAACACCAGGAGCAGCAGGTTTGTTCTTGTGCCCATTTATTAATTTTTTAATGCATTGTTCCATAACACATAATATCTCTGTTTTTATGGAATGAGGTGTTGCTGTTCTTTATGGAATTTTGTGTTCTTTTGTAGATCATTGAAGTTGGATTTTCTCGAGCTATATGTGTGCGTGTGTGCGTGTGTGCGCGTGTGCATGTATTTATGTTTTTCTATTTCATGTATATGGAGTGGGCTCTTGGAGGGCTGAGATGGTAATTGTCATAACTGGATGGTTTCAGGCTCTTGGAGTTTAATCAATTTGCTATACTTGTTAATGAGCTACAGAGTCAAAACCAGCGATTGTCAAGCTATCACTGTTAACACATTGTATAATCTAAAATGTTTTTATGAAAATTAGGGATTTCTCACCGCATTGGTAATTCATGACCAAAGTTTGCATATGGAATTGAAGTTTAAATTCAATTGAGTTGAAAAAAATTTATGAACTATTCGTTTTACTTCACATTGAAATGGATCAACTATGGTCTTATGCATAAAATAATCAGTAGAATTAGAGAGAACATAGTTGTAAGAAAAAATAGCTGAAGACTATGATGAGGAACATATTGAGTGGGACCAGAAGGAAATTGTTGTTAATTCTTAGGGCAAGGATAACATATTATATTCCATTAAATATAGATGTTGATGGCTTAACTAGTTGGAATGATGTTTTTTTGGTTGAGTTCAATTTGATCAATAGTTGGACATGGAGACCATGCAACTCATGCTTTAATCTCCCCCCCTCCCAAGTAAATAGTTGCTCGTAATTGTTGAAATTTAACTTGCAAAGGGATTAAGTTCTGTTTATCTTCATTAATTTTTCTTCCGTCATTTACATTTCCTTATTGATTTAATTTTTCTTCCTTCACATTTCCACATTGATTTAACTTTCAGGCAAGAAGTTTACAGACTCCAGGGTGTCAATTGTCTTTTTCACAATGTAATTGTATTTAGTAGTTTGCGTCAGTGTAAAAGAAGTACGAATTATAACACCATGCTATTCAGTGAAAGTCATAGATATGATAACATGGAGTATTATAGTCCATCTCCTTTCCGGAAGCTTGTGGTTCGTTCAGAGTCAAGGAGTCCATCTACTTCATCTGCTCAGATCCTTTCTCATCTCCTGAATAAGATTCCTCCCGAAGGAAAACACTTCTCTACTGTGCTTGTTCAAAAGCAAAGAATAGAAAAAAGAAACCAACAACTTCCAATACATTTACATGGCTCCTTTATATTGAGTACTGCTTCTGAACTAGCACTGTCCCGTAATCTTACTAATTGGAATTTGAGTACTGAAGAAGTTAAGGAAATGAAAAGGACAACCCATTGTAGTAGCGAGAACAATTCACAAGGTAAGGTCAGGGACTTGCAAGATGGCATTGCTTATGAAAATTTGAAATATAAGACTGATTCTTTTATTTCAGAGATTGTCACTATTCCGAGTAAAAGAGCTTCACAAAATTCATTTGACCATACAAACAAGGGTTGTAAAGAAATTAACCCACAAACCCCTAGGCGACATAAACCCAGTAGTCAAGAACAAAAATGTAATGTATGGTCAAGAACAAAGGGAAGGAAAGAATCAAATTCCAGACCATTCCACACTGATGCAATTCAATGTAATGTGGGGGATACAAATTCTTATATTATCACTGAAGGAAAGACTGCCGAAGAATCACACCACGTGCCCCTGCCAGATCTTTGCAAGAAGCTTAATCGCATTTACGACAAAGTTATTGTAGTTGATAATATCTCTATTGCAAAGGAAGTTGTTGGGTTGCTTACAAATCAGTACAGGCATCTTGTCCATGCATGCGATACAGAGGCAGGTCTTTTTTTTAAGTTCCATTGTGTGTATGTGTGTTTTTTTTTTATTACTTGTGCATGTGAAACATAGAGATGTATAATACTTAATGTTCCCCGTATATCCTTTTGTATGCATAATTATGTAAACTCCCAAGTTATTTGAAATTCTCTTACGTTGCAGGTGGCCCAGATTGATGTGAAGCTGGAAACTCCTGTTGATCATGGGGAGATAATATGCTTCAGTATTTATTCTGGACCAGAAGCAGATTTTGGAGGTGGCAAGTCTTGTATATGGGTAGATGTTCTTGATGGTGGTGGCAAGGATCTTTTGGTTGAATTTGCCCCCTTTTTTGAGGACCCGTCCATTAAAAAGGTAAACTTTATTTTGTTGGTCTTCATGATCCGTGGCGCCTTTTGATTACAGTTGAGCTAGAAGTCTTGTTCTTTTTTATGGTAAAACTAGTCCATTTTTAATTAACAAGAAAATGGAAAAGGTCAGTGTGATTGTTTACATATATATATTTGTTACAGTTCATCTTCTTCTTGTTTTTTTTTCCCTCCCCTTTACTTGGTTATGAGAACAGCGTGTGTGTGAGTATGCTTGTTGTCAATCCATTAACAAATGTGGAAGTAACAAGGTGAAATTCTTTATGTAGGTTTGGCATAACTATAGTTTTGATAACCATGTAATAGAAAACTATGGACTTAAACTTGATGGATTTCATGCTGACACAATGCACTTGGCGCGGTTATGGGATTCTTCAAGGCGAATAAATGGTGGGTATTCCCTTGAAGCACTTACAAGTGATCGAAATGTCATGTCGAGTGATAAAAAATGCCGTGATGGAGAGCTTATTGGTAAAGTATCAATGAAAACCATCTTTGGTAGGAGGAAGGTGAAGAAAGATGGAACTGAGGGAAAAATTATCGCGGTTGCTCCTGTTAAAGAGCTTCAAAGAGTAGAGCGTAGATCATGGATATGTTATTCTGCCATGGATTCGATGAGCACACTAAAGCTTTATGAAAGTTTGAAAAGCAAGCTATTATCAATGAGTTGGAAGCTTGAGGGAGAGAATAAAGGATGCATGTTTGCCTTCTATGAGAAATATTGGCGTCCGTTTGGTGAACTTCTAGTAAAAATGGAAACTGAGGGAATGCTTGTGGATCGTACACGCCTTGCTGAGATGGAAAAGGTGGCTAAAGCAGAACAACAAGTTGCAGCTACTAGATTTCGCAATTGGGCAGCTAGGTATTGCCCTGACGCTAGATACATGAATGTGGGAAGTGACACACAATTGCGCCAGCTATTTTTTGGTGGCATAACAAACAGGTTTGAATTTTATTTTTATATCGAATAAATTTAACTCAATAGAACTGTTGTTTACTCTATTGGTGATCAAACATGATTACTGTTTCACCATTTTACAATAAACAATTATACCTTATCGTAAACTATGTCAACATGTCTTTTCTCACCACTTATTTATTTATTTATATATTTTTTAAAAATGTGATATTACTAATGTAGGCTGTTACTTACTGCACAAAACACTTATTATACAATGGTTTACGGTTTTGCCTGCACCAACAACGGTAGAGGCTGTAGAGCCTTTGACATATAAATCTAACAATCAGAAGAAGTATTGCTTCTGGTGCTAATTTACGTGTAATTGCCACTTTCTCATTTGAAGGGGGTTGGAAAAGTCTCCTTTTCACATATTCGTTATCTTTTGTCTTCTCTTAAGTTGTGTAAATCCCTTTCTGGAAACTTGAACTTGTGATTGTTGAAGAACTTCTTTGTACTAATCAATGGAGATCAACTCCTCAAGTTGCTTAAGTTGTAGTAATGGTCACAAAATAATATTAGTATTCTGAATTCTTTTGGCATTTTGATGACTGTGTACATAGAACCGGAATCTGTGAGGTCGTCTTTAAGTGTGGTTGACGCTAACAAGTTGTACCACTCACTACACACACACACACACATGGGGCAAAATGCAAAAACACTAATATATATTTACTGTTATGACAGTTATACCCTTGATTCATTTTTGATGACCCTGTATTAAAAATCCTACCCCATTTACTCAAATTTACCTTTATTATTGAAGTTTAAAAGTTTATTTTACCCCTATTATTATTGATAGTTTTAATGTGTAGAAGCTTGGGGCTAGGTGGAGTTTCTATTGCTCTTGTAAATCTTTGGGCGCCCTCCCCTTTTGAGTGCTTTTAATGATATCTTACTTATCAGGAATTTTTTTTTTTTTTTTTCCTTTCCTACTCTACTTCTCTCCTCCTCTCTTCATACACACACGCACAGTGTATGTACAAATCTCAGCGTGGAATCAATTATTAAGCAACGATGGGTAGTGTGCACATATCCCCCTCCATCAAGTGGCAATTATTCCATTAAGCAAGCATTTTTGAATTTCGTAGAAGCCCAACATTCGTCAACCTAGGTGGACTTCCATGAAACAAGATTTGGAATCTTATAGTTTAGGTGATTGTGCTAAGTTCTATGTTGTTCATCTAGGATTTGCAACAGCGAAATCTTTTCCAATTCCTTCTGTACTTTCTCTACAATCAAACAGAGTATACACAGTGTACCTGTTGGTTTTACTTTGATTTAACTGGTTTTTTGTTGGTTTAATTCCCCCCCAATGTTAAGAACATGTTTCAGCGGGTCATGAGTCACTTTTGACCTTAGTGACTCAAAAATGAACTGATTAGAGAAGAAACTAATGCCGCATAGATCGCAAGGAAGCGTGTGTATATACATATAAGTATATGTGATCACAAGGACGCGTGTATGTATATATGTATATGTGATTGCCTTTTGTTCTTTCACACTGTTCATAGCGGTGGTGAAGAATGAATTTTTTTTTTTTTTTGGGGGTTGGTGAGTGATGTTGTGAGTAGAAGTTCTTTTAGCTGCTTATGGTGATTTTCAAGTGGACAAGAGTAGCCGGTTGATTGACTAGATAAGTGGCTATATACACACAAAAACAATTGCTAGGTCAATAGGATTTATGTTGGCAATTTCTGTAGATCAAAGCACTGAGGGTGTGTACTTCTTCCTAATTTCTAGCTTAGTTTGGAAGCTTTCAAAAGTTAGTTAGTGTTTACTTACAAAAAAAAAAAAACGAGTTAGTGTTAGTCACCTTTTCAAGTTGAAGATGGAATATATAATGCAACAAATGGCAATTTGGTAATTTTTCATCAACAAAAGGTAAAATGGAAAATTGACACAATGATGCACTCTCACCAACTAGGGGTACATGCATTGCATATCTAGGGTTTCTTAATGTACAACTTTATAACTTATTTTGATTCCCAAATATGTTTTAAGAATGCATGGTTCAAAATTTGGAAATTCCTTTCTAAAAAGATAACAAGTATAAATCTGCAAAAGGGTTCGATTGATAGAGGGACTGATCAAGGGCTTCTGGACTTCCGTTGATTGGTCGACGTTCAATGTGATCGATTGAGTTGTTCATAACAACAGTTTCTTAATGGTTTCAAACTCTACAAAAAACCTACTTCCTCTCAACCTTTTGGCTGCCTATAAATACATGACTCATGGGCAAACTAAACACATGAGATGCACATCTAATACATATTTTTGAGAGAAAAAACATTTTGATGATTTTGTGTGCATCTTTCTTTTACATTCATCATATGCATTAGCTTTAGTGAATATCTTTATATGCACTAATAGTGCTGCTGCATACTCTCAAAGATTATTCAACATATCAATTAAATCCACAACCAGATTGACAACCGGACGACTAGTGGTTGAGAGTGATTCACTAGAGAAGTAAAATTGCAAGGAGCGAATGCTTTAGACGAGCGGCGAGACTTTTGGAGAAAAGTTTGACGTAATCTGTGTCTAGAGGTAACCAGGGGTCCTTGGGGTCACTGAACTATAACCTAGTTGTAATCTGATAGTAAATTCGGTTTGCCTGGACTAGGTCCCGTGGTAGTTTTTTCCCTTTTTGAGGTATTCCATGCAAACATCTGGTGTCCACTATTTATTGCTTTAATTGTGTGGGGTGCATGATTTTTACTTGATGCTAGTTTAATTTTCTATTAATTCAGTTAATATTAAAAACTGGTTAAAATAATTAAATTGTTCTACAAGACCTATTCACCCTTCTAGGTGTAGATCTGGACCTTGTGCAACTCTATATTAGGGCCCTTGGGTTCCTCTGTAGCACTTGCATTAACACCATTCAGTTTTTGGGCAGTTTGTGTACATTAAAGGTCAAAGCAAACCGTGGGATCTTTTTGTAACTTCGCCTCATACCCCCCTACCCCCCCTCCTCCTCCTCCTCCTTCTAACAAGGTAAAAGTGTAATTTAAAGTATGTATAAATTAGTGGCCCGGTAGTACAGTGTCCTTATTTACTAACCGTTTTAAGTTTATTATTTTGGTGAGAGGTTTTTTTTTTGGTTCGGGGGAGGGAAGGGGGGCGCATGTGTAGGATAGCTGAAGGACTTAATAGTCTCACAAGTGCAGTAAGAGCTACCCTTGAGAAATGGAGAAGTTATCCCTATTGTGAAAAAAAAGATATATATATATATATATATTGTTAACCACTAATTGACTCTAGGGGGGGGGGGGGGGGGGGGTTGAATAGAGTCAATGGCCAATTTTCGCAATTTATGAAATTTATTTTACAACAACTATTATGCAATGATTAATTGAAAAATTCAAGCAATATAAAGCACAAGTATAAAAGAGATAGAGATAGGAAGATGCAAACAATGAACTCGGTGATTTAGCGAGGTTCGGAAACTCCTACTCCTCGGCTCAAGATCCCCCTTGAGACTTCCCAAATTCACTAGAGCTTCTCCTTAATGGTGGAGAGCAAACCTTCAAATTTGAAGCAAGACCTTGCTTCTTTTCCTTGCTAGGAGAACACCCTTCTCCTAGGCTTCTTTTGGGTCACACCAACCCTTACAAGATTGTAGCAAAGTTTGTAAATGAAATACAAGAATCTCTCTCAATAGATATACAAGTGTAAGCTCACAACTAGAGAATATCAGAATATTAATGAAGCTCAAGTTCTAGGATGAGAGAATGTAGTGATGGTTGAAAGTGAAAGCACAGAGAAGAATTTAAATGGCTTGTTGAATGCTCTTGAATGCTCTCTTGAATGTATTATCCAGTGGTGTATCTACTTCAGTAAATGAGCCTTCCTTATATAGATAACCGTAGCTTAATATGTCTGTTAGAAGTAGTTGTAAGACTTAAATGCAGAAAAGTGCCGTTGTAGATTCAAATTACTTAGAAGAGCCGGCTCTACAAAAAATTGGAGGAGGCTCCAATAAATGGGAGGCGGCTCCAATAACTGGGAGGCGGCTCCAATTCACAAAATGCATTCTACGACACACAATTTGGCTACTGGAGTGCAAAGAGCAGGCTCCTATATTTGGGAGGCGGCTCCAATCCTTGTGTAAGACTAAGAATGAAACACATCTTGTTCTGTGCACTTCCTATTATGAGAGCATGCATAAGTAAAGTTCATGGAAAGATTTTAGGCCTTCTAAAAACTGATTTTTAGAGAAAATATGCATGAACCTAAAAACTTGAGCTTCAGAAGATATTCAAATATGCTTTAACATTTAAATCTAAAGCTCTCACTATCCTATCTACCCTTTTCTTCAATCTTTGACCATGATCGGTTAGCCTTTGATGGAGTACTTGAATAATCTTTGAATTCTTGCTTGAATAATCTTTGAATTCTTGCAACTTCAATGCTTCCTTGAATCCATTGCTTGAGTACTTGGAATGCTTTTGGCTCATTATTGAGGATTGAATTAATTGATCAACTATATAGCACTCAAGGAAAATATTAGTACATAAACATCACTAATGGTTTGTAATCATCAAAATATAAGATTGACCTTTAGATTAAATCCTTAGGCCAACAATCTCCCCCTTTTTGATGATGACAAAACATTGATGTGTTTATTGTCAAGGTGGAGTTGCATTTTGAAATAATCCTCCCCCTATCAATAAGCATATCTTGAATTTATGTCAACAACAAATATTTGAAAAAAAATATGTCTCCCCCTATCAATGTGCGTCTATCAAAATAGCAATGCAATAGAATAGATACAATATAGCATAATAACACATCTTTCTCCCCCTTTGTCATCTCAAAAAGTCTACTTCTATGAAAGAGAAAATACATGCCAATTCATGAACTATTAGAGAATGAGAATTTAAAGGGCAATAAAATAGGAAATATGTCATTTTATAGATGACAGAAGTCAAAGCAGTAGATACGGAAAATATGAACATAACTAGCAGATGTTAGACAAA